AAGTATTTTATGTTGATATTTAGCTAAAATGTTCAGAAAAAAATTGAATTTGTTTAAATAACAATAAACTGATTAATTAATTAAAAATGTATTCTACATGAATAAATATCATAAATTACTTAATCTTGTAATTATTATATATTAATTGTCTAATTGTCTAAGATGATAAGTAACTAGGTAATTAAAAAACATCAAATAAATGAATTTATAAAACAAATAGGATATCAAAGTTTATCAACATTTAAATATAATGAATACTAATAGTTATATACTATTAGTTCATTACTTATTAGTTGAATCTTTTCTAAACTTTTAAAAACAACCAATTAGTTAATAGAGATCTATGTAACATTAAATTTTTGTGCGTAAGCTGCATCTGCAATACTCGATGATTAATGCATTATTTTAATTGCGTATATTAGATTGAAAAGTATATTTAGTTCGATAATTTTATTTTTCAAATATTTCAATGAGACTTAGCAAGTGTGTAATATTATTTGCCTTTCAGGTTTGAGTATGACATTTAAACATATATATTTTTTGTTTTGGGGTGGGGTGGAGAAATATTTTATATTTGTTTACTGTACGGCGATCCTCGTCACGACGTATGAACAGGGAAATATAATATAATATAATGAGTGGATTCAAAACGAGATGGAACTATAAAAATGCACTCACGATGCCTCATAGGAACCATCATAAAGCCAAATAAACTTCATCCAACAAACCTGTCTCTGTGTATGTATTGGTAACCGGTTATTATTTGCATTTTACCAATAGAAATACATTATTTGACTTCATGTGGTTTGACACTTTGGTGTAAATGCAATTCTGAGATATAGAAAATTTGTTAACTAAAAAAAAAAAAAAATTATCTTAAATTTTAATAGTTGTGTATATTTTTTATATAAACGAATATACCACAAAAATGATTATAGTTAATTTATATTAAAAACTTATACTTAAAGTACCTACTTAATGAATAATAATTCATATTAAAAAAATTATATAATTAATCATTAATGTACAAACATCCAAAAGAATTTGAAAATATTGTGATGATAATTTTTATTTATTTTTTTTTCATATTTAATATAAACTTCACATCTTCCGTAACTAAATTATATTATTTTTAGTTCAATGACATAATACCATTAAATCATAAAAACAAATTAATTGTTCGTTTTGATTTTCATGTAAAGTAGGTTTAACAAATAAATATTTCGAATTTGATTAAAGAACAACAAATTTCAGATAACAATAATTCTAAAACGATTATAATGTATATTGTTTATGCCATGTGCATTTTTAATGATACTATATTTATATTAATTTATCCGCTTTCATATGTAAGATAAAATTAACATTTTAGTTGAATAAACGTTTAATAATGATTTATATGTGTGATAAAATAACTAACTTTTCTTTGTTAATAAATTTGTACTCAAGTTTTTGATTTATGAATATTTTTTTGTTCATTTTTATTTTATTGAAGCAATTCTATTTTAATTGTTAATAAAAATATTTTTATTTTACGTAGATTTAAAAATCGTATTATTTTATTTTATATTTCAGTTCTAGTCGATTTATTATTTAACAAATTTAACTTTAACTCAATTTAATATGTATATGAAATTACCAAGTCAAAACCGGGTTTAATATCCTCTGTATATGCGACTAAGCAGGACTAAATACAATATATATACATAATATATTTTAATGTTAAAAATAATATGTCGCAACTTATTTGAAATGGAAATAATATGTATATTTCGATATTTAGTAATAATCAACGTCATTGCAATACGATTTATAGTCCCAGTTTTTCTTGAACAAAATATTAGGCATATTTTATTCTTTATAAATTACACTACTTCATTTACCTATTGGAATATAAATAGTTTAAGTATTATAGTAGTACGTAAGTATTTTTTATCGACAGATATAATACAAAATAATTAAAAGAGAAAGTAGCGAAAAGTATAACAATATAATTTATATCGTATACATAATTTATATATATACTCGTATGTAATATAATTACATATATATATTGTATTTAATATTTATCTTATTAATTTTAAAACGTGTATAATAAAATATGAGAAAACTTAGAACGCATAATCATTAAACAGTCTATGTACCTATATATTTTCACGTTTGTGATAAAATTATCAATATACACAGACAATACACACAATAATTATATAACTGGACAAAAAAAAATAATAATGAAAAAATTAATATTTAATAGGTCACATGTCTATGATTACAATATTTACTTCCGAAGATACACCCAAAGAAACAAATTTAAATATATTTAATCTTTTTTTCGTAATGTTTAGAATCGTTATTGTGACCGATGAATTGAAAAAATTAGATAATGACAATTTAATAAATATTTTATAGTATAGGTACATACTACATATAAATAATTATCAAATTAAGTTTATATTAGTATTATGTGTTTTATGGAGGTTTGTCCAATCAGATAGATTATGATCATTAACGGTCGTAATAATTATTTATTATTTGCGATAAGGATCGACTGAGATTGAGAGCAATAATACCTGTTTATATACCTAAATATTAATAGCAAATATAATAATCGCATACCACAGTCGCCAATTTCAGTCCATTATAGATTTCAGATTTTAGTGTTGGTCGGGTGGTCGTCGATAGAAAATAATATTATCTATGCGTATAATCAATTTACGGTGTACAACATTTATGAACGATATTGTCGCGCGATTGTCAGATGAAAAGACAGTTCATAAAACATAATAAAGAATTATAATGATAAAATATCGATTATTTTCAATTATTTTTATTATAATTATTATAATTGTTAAAATTTTCGTGAACATAATTCGAGAAAAAAATGCGCAAACTCCGAGAAACGGCAACCGCGGGTCTTTGTTGTTACGTTACAATACGTACTTTTTCGCCCGTCACGTGTGACGGCGAAAAGGCGAGCCGCGAGGGTTGTTATTCTATTTCCGACGAACGAACGGAAACCTAACCAACCGATTTTTCTTCTTTGTTGCAGAGCCTTAACGTAAGACTATTGTTCGCCATCATAGCATCGGCTTTTGGTTCGGCATTCCAACATGGCTACAACACTGCAGGTGTGGTGAACGCTCCCCAAACCGTAAGTATTTAAAATGTTATAAATGTTACTTACTAACAGTACTAACTAACCATTTAGGCATTTAGATAGATCTTGTATGTACGTGTAGACTTATAACTTATATCTATCTACTACACGTTACATAACCGTGCGCATGGCAAACTTGGTAACTATCAGTTTTAACAAGTGGCAATCTCATAGTCTCCCTTGGACAGATATGTGTATGATATGCGATAAGCTGAAGTCTCCGAACGTACTAGCCATTTCACATTATTAAAGTCGTACCCTCGGGACCACAAGGCTATGACCCCATCTTAATATTTCGAAGTTGGGCGACTTTCGAATACCATTTGGCCGTATGCACATACGTATATCATCCAGAGTTTGATATTTTATTTATATATTAGAGGTTGCTGCATATAATAACGTTCTTCGATGATGATATTTTTTATATTTTACCTTGAGAAAAATGTGGAAAGGGGCAGGAATAAAAATTCCAAACAGCCTCGTAAAAAAAACAAAACAGGGTCTGGATGTCTGGTCCTAATTGTACAGTCTATTATACCTGCACGGATTTACGATTAAAATATTATTATTATCGTAAATCATGTAGTTCTCTACTTGTGTACTACCTATTACCCATGTAGTATGTTTCAAGGGGTTGATCTTTTTCACAGACACAATTGGTTTTTCGTGTAGTTTTTTTTGTTACCTGATTCCGGTTTGGCGGGTAGAATGGCTAGGTCGAACAATTAAATCAACACGAAGACAAGAGACTGTTTGATTTCTATCCATTCATAAATTGCGAATCTCTAAGTGTTGGTTTTAGCATACAATCGTTTAGTTTGGCCGTTTCCGGCGTATTGGCAGCCGTATCGATGTTTATCGTCAGTAATTATATAATATGCTTGTGTTTGATTCTCATAGGTCTTTTGATATGTCTATGAATAGGGAAGTAAGCACGTACTGGTATAAAAAAAATACACTGCCAACATCTGAATTTATAATTCTAAACACACACACACATACACACGTATAACATTAAGTATAAAGAGCTCGGATATTAGTATAAAACCTGAGTAATATCTATTTTTCTAGTCTTATCGTTTTAGACATCAAAGATATGTTGTTTTCTGTGTATTCTTTTTTCACCGGTCTCAAACGCGTCTCATCTTCAGATTCTAACGACTATAATAGTGCTAACGATGATTACGACAATACGCAACAATCCGAAACTAATAAATTGCTACTCTACCCACATTCCAATGCGGTGTATAACGAACTAACATGTAGTGAATGCACAAATCCCAATGACGTTTGCGGTCTGTGCCGTAATTCGAGAATATCATTAGACAGCGGCAACAGCAACAACGACGACAGCGTCGAGATTATCTGTTCCGAGAGTAATACGTGCAGCAATAGATATTCCGACGGTGCTGCGTATGGCAAATATTGCCTCAACACAAACACGGTCAGCCGTTTTGATAGTGTCGGCGGCGAACACGTTGAAAATGGTAATTGTAAAATTATAGACTATAATTTGGAAAATTACAAAAAATTATTATCAATCGTGGACGATTGCGAGCTGAAAAACAAATATTTTTCAACGAGTTTCGATTTGTCGGGGAATCGAGTATTGTGCTTTCTGCCGATAGACGTGAAAAAAATGAGCGGCGATGGTTCGTTGATGATTTATAAAATGTTGAAAGGCTATGAACTACTGGCCGTAAAGTATATTAAAACAAATAAAATATCATCGAGAACTAATGATGGGTATTTGTTTCACATGGCAGAGGAGAATAATAATATCATTAAATGCTCATTGGATTGTAGAGAAGTGGAAGATTTTATAAATATAGGTTCTTTTAGTTTTTGTAAACAGTTGTTTTGCGTTTCTCTTCTGGTAAACTACTTGTATTTTATAAAACAACAATACACGACATCATCATCATCGAGACGACGATACGTTTTGTTAGGATGTTTATTTTTAAAATCAAAAACTCGTAGTGGTTTTTTCGATACAAACGACGTGGATAAAATAGAAACGGAAAAAGACGTGCGCGTAGAATTTAAAAGAAGAATTAAATCATCGCCACCGTCGTTGTCGTTGTCCTCTGAAGATAGTTTAAACGTTTTAAAAGGAATAATCGTCGATTTTTCTATATCAAAGTGAGTATTTATTAATACGCGATGCGAATGAGCGAATATATAACTAATAAATTAATGTGTGTACGTGTGTGGTGAGTGTTTAGATTTAAACGACGAGAAACTTCAATCTATTGAAAAACGCACTCGATCAACTCCGTAAGGACATGGCTGTTGTCGATGATGATCATAACTATCATCTTATCGAGGATTTCGTTCGATTGGATCATTTGGCGTCGTCGTCATCATCATCGTCGTTGTCATCGCAATCTGGTGTATGTGTAATTCTAAATAAAGAAGCAGATGGACGAGTTCGAGTGATTTTACGCAACGCCGATTGTTTTAAATATTTTAATTTTACAAAAGACACGGCAAATTTGTCAAAAGTCGAGTTGAAAAAAGAAATGACGGATATTAACGAATGTATAAAATCTATAAATCAACTTGTATCGAATCCTTTAAAATCGCACGCGTCCGATGTTCAAATGTTACTTAGTGGTTGTAAAAATTAAATTTATATATATATATAGTGTGCTTTAAATGTAATAAATAAATAAATAAATGTTATAAACGAATGTTAAAATGAATCCTGAAGACGAATCTATAAATCCCAAAACGATATTGAAAAAAGATTTGAAATATTTTGCATTCATAGATTTTTTGTGTGCGTCTCATTTTTAACAATAATGAGTTTGAATATTGTTAGATATTATTATTATTACGAATTTAAGAATACGTCGATCGATTCGGGCTTAGTTGGATCTTACGTCGATCTTAGAGAGTTGAATTAATAATTTCTTATGATTGCGACAGTCGGCGACGCTACCGCCAATGACGACGGCGGTGGTGGTGGCGGCAAGAAGAAATCTATAGTTAGAAATTGCTTGTGTGTGTGTGCGTATCGCGCGAGCGTATAATACTTGACTAGATACCGGACTTATCGTGTTTGTTTATCAGTATACATCCGGATTCTGTAGGCTTCGGGTGGTCGTAAAAGCATTTCTTTTTTTCGCTTTTAACGTTCTTTGTTTGTGTTGCTGATACCGCAGCGCGTGTATACTCAAAATTGGCGCGTGATGACAACTGTTATAACTACATTTACCGCAACTACGACTTCTACACATTTTTCAAAAAATATGATTACGAGTATTTCGTCGATACCAACGGTAGTGTCTCCGCTACAATCATCGGCGTCTTTGGTGTTCCACAATTGTAATAATCGCAAAGACGCCAACGACAATTACGAGCGGTATACAGTGACGATGAAAAACAAGACTGTCGAGAAAAGATGTTCGGTATTTGATCTCACTCCAAACAATGTTCGTTGTGTAAACAGCAAGTTTGAAGAAATTAAAAAAGAAGTCTGTGATGATGATAAATCAGAGTACTTTATAATTGTAAATTTTTCTCAGTCGTTCGAGGAAGATTATCGTAAGTACGAAAAAAAACTTTTTCACAAGTCGACGAATATTTTCACAGAGTTGATTAATTTTTTTTTCCACACGTTGTAGTCACGGAACGCAAAAGCGATCATTACATTTTCAACGGATGGTCAAAAATTGATGAAAAGTTATTAAAAAGCACATTATCGTATTTTAATTCGATGAAAACAACCAACGATTCCGGATTACCGTCGAATCATCATCACCAACGAGAAGCGAATCAACACAAAGATACATCATGCGGCGCAGTTAGAGAATCTTCATGCTGTGTAGAAAATAATGGTTGCAACAAATATCATCATAATCGTTGTCGCCGTATTCATATAATACTCACGGGATTGAATGTGTTCAACATATCCAAATGTTTCCTTCATTTAGATTCTAATGTGATATTTAATTTTAATATTGGTTTGCGTTTATATTCCAAATCTCTGTCTGGTAGATTGCCATTTTGCATGACAAAGTTTTTTATAGCCTACACTCCGTCCAACGCGATGGTGGTAGATATTAATAATTATACGGTATGGTCGCCTACACTCGAAGAACATATAATACATAATCAAAATATTGGATATTTTAAAAATTTACAACTATCAAAAACTCGTTTAATTTTCTCTAAATTAATATCAAATTCAGAGTGTCGCGATGCTATACACCACAATGGCTTTAATAATAATTTTCCCGACAAAGAGGCTATATTGAGTAAGCTTTTGATTTCTCGTAAACGAAAACGCAACAATAATATGAATCTAACGACAACTTTTACTTCTTTCAGTATCAATATTTATAATTTCATATATATAATGTTTGATTTAGACGTTTTGTGTTTGATATTATCGAGTATCGCGAAAGAATTACACATAAGCATTACAAACTCCAAAGTGATAATGCCCGGATTTATTGTAGAGAGATTATCGTTTTAAAAAAAAAAAAGCTTCCTTCTATCGTGTGGATGCGTTTATTGCCACGAAATCCCACGAGCATCAAAAACTCGATGCGAATGCACTCGAGTTGGCGACCAGACTAGACGCGATCGCTCGACTCTTAAAAAAAAATACCCACTTTGTCGTTAAATTTGTAAACGAGAATTTATAGTGCAACTCTTAAACGAGAATTTATAGTGTGAGTGCTCTTATGTGGTGTATCTCACCGTCGTAGCAACGCCTCGAAAGGAGTAAAATCTCTTGCGCCTCTTGCCTTAGTTTTATTATAGGATGTGTGTGGTGGTGGTGTTTATAGGATATATACTAAAGACTGTATTTTAAAACCTCTTTATTGGTTCAATAATACTTTTTGTGTGAGTATAAGAGTATAAGAATACTTAGAGTAGCGCGAATACTTATTAATAATACAAAAGCAGCATATATGGTTGGTAATTAATGAAATGTATTCAATAAAGAATAAAATTTTTTCTTGTAATTCTTGTTCATTTTTTTCTTGTTCTTTTTGTTTTTTCTGTTTGATTTTTTATAATAGATGTAGTCGTCGTCGTCGTAGTCACTCCCATCTTCTGGCTGGTATGATTCGTTGATACTCTCGTCGTCAACAATATCGTAAGCGTCACTGAGAAAATGTATCTTACTAATCGACGATCGATCTCTAAGTTGATATCTGGCTTTTGGTGGCAGCTCCGCCGATGCTGTCGGACGGGTTGTGGTGGCAGTGGTTGTAGCAGTGTTTTTAGATGATCCATCATTATTATCGTAGTGGGCAAACCAGTCTTTGGAATCGACGCAATCAGCGGATGATTTTTTATAATGAATCCCGATACAATTTCTCGCGTGTTCAAAATTTTTCTTAAATACAAACATCTCGCTCACATATATTTTATAATAAATATTACTTTCTTTTAGATACGGGAATAAAAAATCTATAAAATCCACGATGTGTTTGGACATTTTAATTAAAACACCGACGTCTATAGAAAACTTTAGAAAATCGCTTTTAAAACTCATCAGATCGGCCATATCTTTTGTAGTCAGCGTAGGTTTGAGATTTATACAATCATCGTACCTGATGGCGTTCTTAAAGGCCGCTAAATCCAATGCTAATTTAAAAATCATACCCAATTTAATGAATACGGGATCGATAGTGAAGCCGTTCAAATAAGCATCGTACTTGTTATGTACATCTACCCATTCCGCGCGCAAATCGTTCATGAGTGAGTCTATATCCATACCACCTGACAATACGGAGTTTTCGGTCTGTTCCAACAAACAACGCATGGACGATAATATAATTGGGATTTCGCGGTTAAATGATACCTCACGACAATAACTATCCAGCTTTCGCGATTCGAATATTCTAGCGTCTCGCTTTAGCGACGAAGTGCCGGTAGATGAGTTGTCGATTTTTTAATCGAATAAAAAATAAAAATATAAAATAAAATTTTTATTTTAACATATCCAAGGACTGTATGTAGTTGCGGATATTATCGACATCGGCTTTGGGTTTCTCGTAGATCCAGCTAATTACCAATGATCTGGCGTTTTCCATGTCCTAAAGAAAAAATATAAGTGCTTATTAGCGCGCGTGCAATATGAATAGTCGTTTGCGATCGGGTCGTCCGCGTTTGACAGCGGCAGAGTGCCACGTTTGTTCTCTACGATTCAAGCTCTTGGCGATGACTCGCTCGACCGATAAAGACAATGACGATGACGACGACGGCTCTTGACATCGTTATTTTGACCAAGTTAACGACTGAGAACGCGCGCTCGCTCGCTCGGTCGATCGAGGTGACGACTTCGCGATCTCGACTAATTCAAACGCACTACATTAAAAAAGATGGATAAAGAAAAAAAATTGATAGTAAATTAGTAGAGTTGATTTATTACAATGAATACTACATCATTAGAATACAAGTTAGTACAATGAATACAAATTAGACAAGTTAGTTATCGATATAGTTAAAAAAACTCTTCGTCGTCTTCAGTTTTATAGTGCGGTTGAAGAACGAGAGAATCTTTGAATTCATCGGGAATTTTATAGATCACTACATCTTGATCGTACGTTGGATCAAATTTTAATAAGTCACAAGCATATTTGTCTCTAGAAACTTTAAAGTTATTTATAAACGAACGGAACAATTGATCCTAGACTTTACTCTTTGTAATGTTGTTATAAACTTCCAAGTCCACGCTAAAGATGACTATGTCATCGCAAAAACAAAACACGTCAAGTTTTTTATTAACTGTGATATGAACGTCTGCCGAGCCGATAAAAATTTGATTGCGCCTAGCATTGTCCAAAGCTATCTTAGTCTCCTTAGCATACCAGATTGCTTTGCAATCGGTAGAAGTGTTTATAAACTCGTAATACTTATCATTCAGACGCTCCCAGTCTTTTAATATGTGATTAAACACTAAATAAGGCTACTTAATGCACATAGTGTTATTGTACAAGTACTCTTGTAACGATAGCAAAAATATAGGTATATCATTAGAGTTTGAACCTACGGGAACTGGAGTCTTCTCTCCCTTCTGGTTGAAGAGTGCCGAGTAAAATAATGGCGTGGAGCATTCGGACGAATGATAGCCACAGGTTTTCTTCAGCATGTCCATGAAGAATACGAATTCTCTTAGAACCAGAAGGTTGTAGTCCGGATCGGAGTAGACAAAATTGATGAACATTCTAAAAGAGAGAGAGTGATGGAGACATTAGAAACAGACAACTCGAAAAGTCTCTACATTTGCGATCCCGAACTGTTTGTATGATCTTTGAAATCGAGTAAGAAGCGTATTATAGAAAAGAGTTATTACCTATTGCTGGGGTTCTGGTGCGATTCCATGTTTTAAGAGTGATGGAGCGGCTGCGTCGCAAACGAGGAGAGAGAAGTAGCACTAGTGCTAACTAAACTTGCGTGATCAGAGTATGGGTTCTCCTACAAGAATGAGCTCTGACCGAGATTCGGGAGCCTTAAATATGCCGCGAGAATTCAACTTATCGCGTACGAGCAAAGAGCAGTAGAAAAATGAATAGAATGGCGTGCGAAGGATCAAAAAGATGTAGAAAAATCGTCAGCCGATAGAAGAAGCGACTTGGGACGTCGTAAAAATCCGTCTATATGCTCGACGAGACCTCGGCAGGCCTTTTCATTACTACACGCGCCTTATCGTAGATGATTCGTATAAAAATACAAGGCTTGCTATGTTTCTACGACGCAAAGTGTGATCATCGTTATAGTCAGCGTACGACGACGCAAAGTGCATGTTTTTATCATGATGGTTGGTACTTTTGCTCTTCGTCGCTTCGTCTCTCGTCGAGACGCCGTCGTAGCGGCGTAGATAAAGCACGTAGCCGATCGGTGATTGGGTATATAACAGCGCCGTTCGCATAGAGCATGTTCATTCGAATTCAGAGCTCAGTGGTGACTTGTTCGTGGCGTTTTTTTGACCCGGACGAACTTTTACGTTATTTACGCGTTGTTCATGATTTGTTTAGGCGTTTGTTTTGATTTGTTCATGCGCCATTGTTTATAATGGAAATGGAAGACTTTTTATCCGATGTTTTGGTCTTCGATCTATTCCCAAAAGTGAGTATTACTTTAAATTTACTTTAAGCGTACAGGCGTGAACATATTTCTGTTTTTCCGTTCACTTTTATTCGTTCATACATAAACTATAAGTTAATATTTTTTGTTTTTTTCAGGAAAATCAAAACACATCGAACAACAACAACATATATCTGAATTACATCGGTCTCAACGATACCAATAACAAGGAAAATCTAAACGGACCGTTGCAGCAGCATCAGATCGATTCCGTAAAACACCACAATTCGCTCGATTGCAGAGGTTACTACAATACTTTTTCTTCATCCGACGTATTTGATGGATGTGAGTAAACGTTTTCTTTTTCTGACGCTGCGAAATAAAGTCTTTATACGTGCGTCAAACATTATTTCACCAGCGTTTTGTGAAAAATCCACGCTCTTTGAAAAAAAAATTCATTTGCGTACGATTTCAAAAATGATTGATGTAATTTATTTTTTCAGCAACAACACCAATCGCGGCACTCACAGAAGTTAGCCGTATGGATCTCAATGCGTCGTCGACACCGGTGCTAAACCATCAGTCATCGCCGTATCAAAATCAACAACAGGTACAACAATATTTATATCAACAACAGCAACAAGTAAAATCACCAGCACCGTTGTCATCGTCATCAGTATTACAACAGTCTGCAGGGATACGGCAGTTAACAACACCACAGTATTTAGTTCCGCATTTTTCACCTTTAGTATTACAGGAGCGACAATCACATACGCCATTACCACCCGTACCACAACTGCCAATACAATTGCCGATATTATCACCGACTGTTGTTGTCGATAGCGTTGGGGCCAATGTCGAAGTAGGCACGACATCAACGACCGGCGGTTCTTGTACTCCTGATTTTCAACAGCAGCCAACATCACCGCCGTCATCACAACGATCACTGACTTCTGAATCTGTAAGTAATAAAAGAAGCCACGAAATAGCGAATGATGGTCAGAACAATGACGACTCGTGTAGTAAAAAACAAAAATTAGACGATTGCGGTGAGAATAATACGAGAATATTCGAGGACGACGAGGAAGAGGAAAAACTTGAAGAACCCAACGACAAGTATGATGATAATAATGATGATGATGAAGATGATGATGACGAATTCGTCCCTACTGAAAAGGAGATCATTCAAGCTAAAAAGGAGGAGGAATCCGCCGTCGTAGCGATCCCACACGACACCGAACAACTGGATACTTATCCGTTAGAGTCAAAATCAAAGTACGTTATTAAATATTCACAGCGTATGAATAAGTTATTATCAAATACCTATGACATATCGATCAGCCTCACGCGTAAAATACTCTCGCGCAATGAACCGACTGAATTCGAGTTGAATTACATGAATACCATAAAATACACAATACCCAGAGAAAAATGTGCCTTCGCGTTTATAAACCCATCATGTACTATCGCGGATACGGGTATAAACAATGATGACACATATAAAGTGATTTCTCAAAAACTAATAGACAACATGCAATTAGAACAGCCGATTCATCGCGAATTGGATAAATGTGATTTAATGCTCAGCACTTATAAAAACGGAGACGACACCGTTGCTTTAAAATCGGGTTCTGCTAGTTTTTTAAAACACGCGGAAAATAACGTGTTCTGGTTTGATAGTTACTCGGAATCGTTTACCGAGGTAAAATCGGTGTATGAAGCTTGTTATAATGAGAGCAATTCGGAAAATATGATGATTCAAGATGTGTTTAGTTACGTCCAGGAGAATTATTCGAAAAATAATAACGTGATTCGTGAGAAAACCGAAAATATAGCGATATCTAAGAACTTGGTGCGAATATATCGATCCGCTCTTTTGAACGATGTCATTCTCGGCATAGTGAAGCATGTTAAGTTCGCTCGCAACAGCGCCACAAACAGTTGCGGCGATTTTACCACTTTTAAATACGATTGCGAAAACATTAGATGCGAACAGTTTATAACTTTGGAGTCTTTCTTGTATTTTTTACTTAGATATCGCGATCCTAAAGCGCAATTTGACATTTACGAGGGAGAATGGGTGTTTGTATTGCGTTCCTATTGGGACATATGCACTCAAGATTTGAAAAATTATAACGAAAATAAAAACAGACGTGAAGAGAAATCTATACTGGGCTACGTCATGCGCAAAATATACTCATCTATATTGAGGGAAGATGTAAGCACCGAAAAGGACTTTCGACTCTTGGTAGCGAGCAATGCTATAAGAAAGTTAAAATGCCGAGACAAGACGACTGTGCCATTAGAATTTCTAGAATATATCAAACATTATATATCCTTACTGATTAACAATATAAATTCTAAGTTACAAATGATGTGGTCGTCTACATTTAAGAAAATGGGAATTCATCACGCGAATTTTGTACACACTTTTGTCGAAGTGATGAAACGTCGTAAATTTATGTTGGCGTTTGCTCTGCGATGCGTATATCAAAAACCATTGCCGATCGTCCCGGAAAAGACTGTGAATCTCGATCAATATATTAAATATTGGTCGTTCCGCAATGACATGAATCACGTCAAAGTGTTGAAAAATAAAAATATCAGTGTTCCCGAAAAACTCACTAGTCGTTTTCGTGCGATCAACAATGGCTGCGGTATAGACAAGATACAAATCAATTATATTTTGAATTCCATATTCGACAAAGAGACTGACATATCAGATCGACTACAATACGAATTTGAAAATTTTTATCAATTTTTCGTAGAAATGTTTGCCGAGTATATTTACAATATCAAAGCCTCCGAAAAGATTAGCGATCACTTGTCGATCGAGTTTTTTAACGGTAAGATGAGTCCAATTAAAAAGATATTTTTACATGTTAATTGCGTGACTTGTATATACGTTACATTCACGATGAGCGCGCTCATTACGGACAACATCAAGCGATGTCTCAAAGAAATATCGCCCAACGGACACTATGAAAATTTAAAGTTTTCTAAAGCGGTTGTGAGTAAGTTTTTCGCCATGATCAATGAGAATTTGACTTACGCTTTATACCCAGTACTCGTACAGTATGGGAAAAATCATGTAGATAAGTTTTCCATGAACGCCATGTTGATAAATTGTTTTGATAGTTATCGTGATACTGTTATAAATTGTTTCGGTATCGGTAATATTCGGTTTGGCTGGTACGTCGAATCAATGTCTAATTTGGATATTGATTATTCGCCAAAAGTTATAGAGGCGTTTACAGATGCGGAAAATTTGTGGAGTTTTATAAACGCTCTGTCGGTATTAGACTATGATGATGTGGCCTATACAAAAGAAGACAGAACCATCATGGACGTGGACGAAGAGTTGGAAGAAAGCGACGATCAGCGGAAACTATTGAACGATCGTGTGGACAATTTAGTTCCAATTTTGACAAAAACCGGTGAAAATAATTATTTAAAACAAGAAATAACGGCTTGCACTGGAGTATTGGATGTTTTTAGTGATGATGGTAGCGTATACAGTTATGAAGAGTCGATATTCTGCAGTGATGATTACGATTCGGACGTTTGCGTCGAAACGGACGAAGAGTCTGAAATCGATACAAGTAGCGACAGCAGCGGTGACGAAGACTACGACGACGGATGTTCTAGCGATAGATTTGACGAGAGAATTCGTAAAGCTAAGTTAAAGAAAACGAGAAAATTATTTATTGATAATTTAAAAGAAAATGGCATGCAAGTGGATTCTCTAATAACAGCGGTAAATCCCAATGTACCAAATGACTATAGTGATGATGATGATATCAACACTGATCAAGAAATTATTATTTACCAAACGGAAAATAAGAAGAAGAAATTAAAAAAGAAAAAAACACCGGTCGCGAAAAAAATAGATTCCATTCGTGATGTCGATTTGTTGAAAAATTCTAAGAGCGGTAGCTGCAGCGACGCTAGCTGCAGGAATAGCAGTGATGATGACTATGACGACAACACCATCGCCGGTTGCAAGAAAAAAGATTCTGGTTGTAGCAGCGGTAATCACAGTAGCGATGATGATAGCAGTAGTAGCAGTAGCAGCAGCGGCAGTGGTAGTGGTAGTAGCAGTAGCAGCAGCTGCAGCAGTAGTAGGAGTGATAGTGATAACGATGATAAAACTACTACAAAATCACCGTCGGCATCGGCGAAAGTATCAAATACACCAAGCATCATTAAGCCCACGATAACGACGACGATGACTACAACATCAAAGACTCCAAAGATAAAATCAATCGTAAAGTCAAATATACCTCTACAGAGATTTATTCGACCACCCAATAAACCATTATTATTTATTAATGGTAAACGTATGCCGGGTAAAAATCTGTCCGACGACGACGATGATGATGACTACGACAACGGTGTTTCAAACAATTTAACTTATAACGATGAATTGCCGCAAAATACCGATACTGCTGATAGATCCACCGTACAAGTGTTAAAACCAAAACCAAAACCTAAAAAATCAAAGACAGCGCCAACAACTGCGGCGACGATGACGGAGACGGCGGCGGTGAAAACAGACAAGAGGAAATATGTAAGGAAAAGTGTTGCTGGCGGCACTATATGTCGTAGGAAAGATTACCCTCATTACCCTGATGTGATATACCCGTCGACATTAAATAAAGCCAGTTGTTGTGTTTTAAAGAATAATTATGATTATAGAACGATGAGCGTAGACGAGTGTATCAAACAGTATCTACCGGAATTAAAAGAGTTTTACGATAGACAAATATTAAAGGATAAAAATAATAAATTTTTCAATACCAAGGCTTACCCGGAGAGCTTCGGTTTGATACTCATGCCGAGCGATTATTTTAAAAATTACGACAGAGATCCGGAAAACTTTAAAGATAAATATTACGCTTCTTATGATGACGAAGATGGCATTAAAAAGCGATTATTTATGATACAATTAAAGAGTGCCATTGAAAATGGTAAGACATCCAAGAATTGCGTTTTGTGTCATAAAGAAAACAGAACGAGTTTTAATATGATTGTTACCAAAGAATGCGTTATTACTGCATGTTTTTATTGTGTACACTTTTTAAATTTACACATTATATACAATATAAAAACTTATGAAGATGTTAGAAAACAATTGTACACCAGAGTCAAAAAAAGATATGGTCGCATTCGTCCGGGTAGTATGAAGAATTATCCTCTGATGTTTGACAAACAGTATAATTATATAGAAAGCATGCCTAAACGTACCGATGCTTCTCAAATTAATATGCGTACTTATAACAAGCGTAAGAAAAATTACAGGATTAACTTGAAAAAAGAAGAAGCCATACGTCTTCTCAATATGGAGTGATGAATTGTTCCCTACTATGTGTGTGTATTATTCTTATGCTTTTCCTATTTATCCATTCCAATTTTATGCAAATTTATCCAATCATTATTTTTTATGCTCAATTATATTGTACTCTTATATACACTACTTGTTAATTACTTATTTTTTTTTGTTATTATGTTCAATTTTATTATATTATATACGAGTATATATATATATATATATGTTATTATCCCCATTTATTATCCATTTTTTAATCTCGCACTTGTCAATTTATTTTATGTGTCATGTGTTTAAAGAGAAATAAAAAAGATATAATTTATGTCAAGAGTGTTTTTTTTTTTTAATGCGTTATTATCCCCTCTAATCCAAAACATATTGTAAAAAAAACCGGTTCTCGGTAATACGATAGTATAAGATCATTAAAAAGCAACGTATTTTTCCAAAAATCATTAAACCAATAAAAAAAATCACCAATAAACTCGGTATCTTTTTCCGTTAACGACACCGGTTTGGTCCATAAATTCATTCATAATATCATCATCATAACCATAATCATGTATCGTTATAAAATGGAAAAGAAGAAGAGCGAGGAGGAAAAGTTTGTTTCAATAACTATATTCAAATTCATACATATAGAATCACATTATTAATTTTTTTTTCTAACACTCGTAGAAAAGCATCGGAATTAACACGACAGATGCAAGCGTCGTCTTTATCATCGGCATCGGCATCGTCGTCGTCTAAAACTTTGTGTTTTGATAAACCATCGTAGTAGTATGTATTTGTATGTTCACAGCACTTTTGGGCAGGGAGATTTTAAAAGTTTAAGGGGGAATATCCCACTTGACCTCATTTTCGTCTCCGTATAACACAAAAACAGATATTTTTTTTTTTTTAAACATATTCATGTTTTTCAAAAAAAATTTAATTTCATGTAATACAAATCATAATAATTCTAAAAAACATTATATAGGATGCGATCTGGTTAAAATAAAAACAAAAATATATATATTTATTAATATATGTTAATTTATTTAATATTTTTTTTAAAAATCTCAAAACATTATAACACAAGTTTTCTTACTTCTCTAGTAAAAGGTACATATTCTACAATGCGATCATGAATTAATAAACAATAAGCAGTTACACCTGTAAGAGATTCTGACGCCTCGATTTCCAATTGAACATCTACTGATGAAGCCGTAGCCGAATCATTTTGTTTTGAAGTATCAATAACTATAATTGGTGCATTTGATAGAAAAGTAGAAGGACTTAATATCGGGTTCCGAATACTTTTTTCATAGTACGATTCTTGAAACGATGTGTACATATCATATAATAAGGTGAAATTATTTTTTGCAAAATCTAAATTTAAATTATCAAACGGATAAGCAATCGAGTTTAAAAAAGCTTTAACGTTTGTTAAATTACAATGATAAAATACACTACAATATTTTGTTAATATATTTTTACGTCCTTTCTGCAATCCGATTATAATAAATCGAGGTTTTTCTAATTTTGAAGCAGTTTTCAAGTTCCATACAACTTTTTTAGTGGTTCCAAGTTCAGGGTATTCAAAAGTTTCAATAGACCTGAACGGGATAAACAAACTTTTTTCTTTTTCTATAAGTTTTAATAATTTCAATCTTTCTTCATCATCAACAGTGATATGTGATACCTTCCAAACTATTTTATTCGAAACGACTTTTCCAGAATTAACACTTTCATCTTGTTCAGCTTTTGTTAAAACATTCAGATAACTATGAGTTCTAATCTAGAATTAACTAATATTTTTTTAAAGTCTTCGAACATACCTAACCAATATTTCAGTAGAATGCAAGCACTAAATTCACCATTTGCATTTGCGGGGTTTGTATTATTTTTAAAAATCCAACCTGCATTTTCATAACAGTTATAGTTATCTGGTGTACACGATAGATAATCTTTCAACGAGCTGGTAATACCTAATACTCGAGTACTATTTACTTCTATTCCATTGATTTCAAGTCGTATTTGTTCAAAGAGATATGAAAAACCGTTATTAGCAAGTTTTACTTCACTAGCTTCTGATATTTTACCTTCTAAAAAAATAAAACTCTCATGCAAATACGGATGAACATCTGTTTGCTGGATTGATATTCGTATTTCATCATTATTATTAAATGAAGTCGTATAAGGTGTATATGAATGATATTCAATTTTCGTAATTTTAGAATCTGTTTCAAACCTCGAACTTATATCCAAAATATCGCTTTCAGGCATTCTGTCTCAATTTATAGCCTAACGCCTTTAAAATGTTTTTATTTTTCACTGTCAATTTTTTAACTTTACTTGATGTTGACGGTAACACTTAAGTCGAATGCCTAGCTAGTCTAACCTGAAGTAATGGGCTTATATTAAATTTTAATCCCATGTCAAGATCCGTAACGTTTAATATGTAGTACAATTGTTAATGTCTCACAAAAATTATCGATTTGATTAAAATCTTGATCAACTAATTGAATAGTTATTGAATCAATATTTGTTTTGTTCAATTTATAATATATAAGGTTTGGTGGTGATTGAACCACTTTTGTTCCAGTTTTTCCACTAGGGAAAAACTCGTAAATTGAATGAGTTTGAACGTGATTACTGAATGATCCTTAAGCAATATTACACATCACTTTTATACAGTTAATTGTGTTTAAATTTATAGCTTTTTCCGAACGCAGAACTTTAAAATCTGGATAATAGTCCCGTTTTTCAAACCCTAATAAAGGTGCTATTCCATAAACCTTATTAAACTTAATTAACCCATTAAATTTTATGAGAGATCTAAAATCGTTAGGATCAATTGAAATTTCGAAAGATATAGATGTTCCATTTTCTTTATTAAAGTCTGTTACTTCCTCTACAACTTGCTGGTTAATATCTTTAATATTATAACAACCTTTTTTTAGCGTAATAAAACAAATTTCCAATCCATTTCGATTCTCATCTAATACTTGAATTTCAAATTTATTATTTTCCGAATTAATATTTGGAAATAAATTAAACGTTTGTAAACATAATAAAGCTATTTCAGAGTCCTCATACACGTTTAGAGGTGGAAAAAAAGTTGTAGTCAATGTAGTATCATTCCCAGTTAAGCTTAGAGTAATCGATTCATTCATCTAAAAAAATGAATATCAAGATCCACGACGTTTAATATGGAGAACTATAGTCAATGTTTCACAGAAATCATAAATTGGTATATTATCCTGATCAACTAATTGAATAGTTATTGAATCAATATTTGTTTTGTTCAACTTATAATATATAAGGTTTGGTGGTGATTCAATTACCTTTGTTTCTATTTCTCCTCTCGGAAAGAACTCGTAAATTGAATGAGTTTGAACGTGATTACTGAATGATCCTTGAGCAATATTACACATCACTTTTATACAGTTGATTGTGTTTAAATTCACAGCTTTTTCCGAATGATAAATATTATAATAAGATCCATAATATTTTCGGTTTCCAAACTCTAATACAGAGCCTATACTGTTTGGATCCGTAAAGTTTAGTGTTCCGTTACATTTTTTAACTGATCTAAAATCGATAGGATCAAGACTTACATCAAATGTTAAATCAATATGATACTCATTTTTGAAGTCTAAAATCGGTTGTTTAATTTTATTGTTAATATCTGTAATGTTATAATATCCTCTTGGGAAATTGAATGAAAAATAATAATCAAAAAACTCTATGTCTATCCTATTATTTGTTGAAATTATGTTTGGAAATGAATTGAACGTTTGTAAACATAATAAAGCTATTTCTGAGTCTTCATTAACTTTTAAAGACGGAAAATAATTTGTAGTCGATGTAGTATCATTCCCGGTTAAACTTAGAGTGATTGATTCATACATTGTAAAAATTTAAGACATAAATGTCCACAGTTAAATGAATTATAATTCTGATAATTTGAATAGTTATATATGATTTTATTTCCTTTAAAATATTTTTGTAATTCAATTGGTGGAGGTAAATCACCAAAGCTGTCAAAGTATGTAACTTTATCCTTATTTTTATAAAACGCTACCCAATGACTTCCACCGCCTGAAGATATATCCAAGTTTAATATTCCACATTCAATTTTAAGCGGTTTTTTAGGTAAGTCGTCACGTGAAAAGATTCCACGGAAATGACTAATATTAAACTCTCCAACATATTTTATAATATCTTGAGATGAAAGTGGTCTATTAGGCAGCGTATTCATCAGTTTTTTTTCTTAACCTATTATTCTTCAGATATAATCCACTATCTTTTTTTCTTTTCGAATTTTGTATTGCATTATACACACTAGCATTTCCAGACATTAAACTACCAAGTGCTGATAATCCTACAAAAATAGGTATTAAGGGAATCGCACCTCCTGTCTGACCCGGTATCAAAATCTGTCTTTTACCACTATAATTTTTCTTAACCTTGCTTCTTTTTTCGCTGCTAATGAACTATTTTTTTTTCTAGCTTGTTTTTGTCTACTTTTATAACCCATCCCCAATTTTTGTTTAGCCTTCATCGCATTTGTTACCAAGTAGGCAACAATTTTCTCTTTTCGAGGAGTGTCTTTAGCTTTAAATCTTTCCCAAGAACGATTTTCTAACACTTTATCAGCTTTATGTCTTTCATCTAAATTTTTACTTTTCGTGTACACTAAGTCGTGATCGCGACAAACGTTATCTAATGGGTTTATTCTTTTATCACCACGATCTATTCGCTTTTATTATTTCGTACCAGGACTACAAAACTGATAACCAGGAATATGAGCTTCAAACGGAAGACTATTTATAAGAGAGTTTATAAAACCTTTACCAGTCTTATCCACTTAAGAGTTGAACGCGTCATCAATAACTGATAATAAATTATAAATTCTAGAGTATTTATAAGAAAATGAATTTGATTGAACAGAGATATAAATTAGATATTTTAAATGTTGATACTCAAGTAATAAAAAAATTGTCAAGACACGGTCCGTTATTACCCGACACTATACGTGCTATTATAGTTGGTCCTAGTGGTTCGGGTAAAACAAATATAATGTATAACCTAATCACACATGAAAACGGATTAAGATTTGAGAATATTTATTTATACTCTAAAACTTCTAATCAGGAAAAAT